TATTTCCCCTCAGTATGGTGAGTTGTCGAGGAGTTTTTCTTAGGCTTAACGCTAAGATTTCTCCTCTATACTTAGACGTTCAAGGCATTGGATTAAGAATTAAGTAGCGTTACAATAGTCAAGGCATAATTAAGTTTAGTTGTGTTGTTTGGTGCAACAGTTTAACCTGGGGATTTGAAAGCGAAGCTCATCACATGGTAGGCTCACTATTGTGAACAAGGTCATTTGTAGAAATGACAGTGTGAAATGATCAAGTTGTTCAGTGACCTGGGAGTATGACGACTTTGATTGGAATAGAGACACATCACTTGGTAGGCCACTATGGGGGAAGAACGTCATTTTTAGGAATGGCGATGTGAAAATAATCATGTCGTTCAGTGACATGGGAGTATGACGACAATGATTTTTGGCTCTCACATGATCCCAAATAACTATGAATATTGACTTATTTAAAAGTTATCAAAGAAATAAGTGGTTTAATTATGTTTCAGTGATTTAACGAGTTCAATAGATTTTTTATGATTTGATATTTGGAATAAAAGTAAATAAAGTGAACTTGTTTCCCTATTTTAATTGGTATGATGAGTTTACTCCTGCTCACTTAATTTGGAAGTGTTTGAAATTTTCACAAGTGAATAAATTTGTACCAATATTACTTTGTAACAAGCAATGTGTTTTCGAGATCAAGTAATGTGTCAACTAATGAGTTTTTGAAATCAGCAAATTAGTAAGTGATGTTGTGAAAAAATAAATAATGTGATAAGAGAAGTGTTTCCAAAATCAAGCCATTTGACAAGCGATTCTTGATGTTTTCAAAAAACTCAGAAAGTTCATTATGGAGTGATATGCTTGTGTCTGCCATATGGTTAGAATGCGCCTTTATGTGGCCTGTTATGTGTACTTGTGATGTGGCCTTTTGGCATTTGTGATGTGGCCTTTTTGGATATTTGTGATGTGTCCGGCAGCATATGGCAGAGTTAGTGCCTTCTATTCTCGAGAACTATGTGTTATGTGATGCCTTTGGTATTCTCATACTACTATGCTATAATTCGTAGCCTTAGTGTTGTTAGGTCTCATGTTTATGAGCATACTATCTAATCTAGTTTTGATGATTAATAAACAATTCCAAATATTGTTTGTCGAGTGTTTATATTTGCTTGTTAGGAATTCCACACAAAGATCCTCAGTTGGAGGTTGGATGGACTTGCGCCTACACGATCATATTCGTTGGAGGATGGAAGGAATTTGGAATGGAGAATGATGCATTCAAGTTCAAGAAACACTATTGCTACATCCATACTACGAAGAGGAGAAACACCCAAGATCAAACGTCATCAGATCATTTAGCTTGGGTACATTTAGTTTAGGTTTCATACTTTGTGTGTTTATACCGAAAAGCTCAAATATTACATACATATACGTTTTTGTTTTATTGCTTTCAAGTTTATCCATATAAATATGAAACGAATGGATATAATTATATACACACATATTTGTTTCATGTTTATACTTGTTTGGAATAATTTCATCAAAATTAAGTTTTGACGTTTTTGTATTTTTTCAACCTGCTTGAAAATTACATAATTTTTTACAAATGGAAAATGAAATTTGAGAAATTATTTTTCTAAAATTTTCTATTTCATGTTTATAATTATTTTTCAAAGTTTTACTATTTTTGGAGTTGATTTACTATGTTAAATTAATTTTACAAAATTAAATATTTTAGCAGTTTTTAGAATCTGGAATATCTGTTTTAAAACAGTGATTTCTCACAAATGAGAAGTGATATTTCATAAATTCTTTCTCTAACATGTTTACCTACATGTGTAGAAACTTTCCTTAAATTTTCATAATTTTTGGAGTGAATTGCTATTTTTAATTAATTTTACAAAATTAGATACGCAAAATTTCAGAATCTGCCGTGTATGTTTTCAGTCGACTGAACAGTGTTTTCAGTCGACTGAACAGTGTTCATTAGTCGAACAAACAGTGTTCCGTTACATAATGGCTAGTTTTTTTCAGATTTTGATTTTTGGGGGTTTTACCTCGTTTTTTGTGATCACATTTATATAAAATCAAATTTATGTTTCAATATCTCATAAGAAGTCTAAATCATATTATGAGTTAGTTCACGACAGAATTGATCATATTATATCATTTTCTATACATAAGCAAAATAGAATAATTATTTTTTAAACACAAGATCAATCCATTATAATACGTATGAAATTTTATATTATAAAATAAATACTAGTGAGAAATGACTCACCTCTAGTAGACACGACATAGTCAAATATTTTTTCTTATGATATCAACCTGATCCTTTAATATAAGTATATAAAACTAATATTAATTCAGTGTAATTACATATTATAGGATAGTTGTTTCAAATTTTAGAGCCAATCAAATTCAAGTATTACCAATTAACAATTAATATCCATAAGTAGGGTACACATTGGGTCATTGCTAATTTTAGGAACTTTACCATAATTCCAATAATATCTTAGTTCTGGACCTATTAACAATATGAGACAGTTTTGTAGTTTTCTCCAATAATTACTCAAGCTTAATTCCTAGCTAAGTTAGAATCTTCTGAGTCTAGTTGCAATTTATTGAACAACAAGGTCTATATGAATATTTTCATTCCTTTTTTATCTTTTGGGTCTCTATACAAACTAATACACTTTCAGGTGTCTCAACGAAATTTGGCTGTTTTAATTTAATTCTCCTCTCTCTCTCTCTCTCTCTCTCTCTAGTGTGCACTCATGCAAAGCACGACGTCCCCTTTTTCCTGCTACAGTAATCATGGTTTATAAGTGCTACAATAAGATTTTTTGAAATGCTACAGTATCCCGCCTCTGCGGCAATGATATTTTTTGGAAACGCTATAGTATCCCGCTATGCTTCAGTAATAATACTGCAGTATTTTTTTATAAAAATGTTACGGTGTCGTGTGCTACAGTAATAATACTACAATAATTTGCCGTAGCATTTACTGTAGTATGAATAGCGAAGCTTGGATCCTCCCTTTATTATAGAGGAATAGATTCTCCCTCCGTTCCTCATCTTATTTTTCTTTTGTTCGTCTCTTTTTTTTTCTTCGGCTACTTAGCGCGGGCCCCTCATGCTCCGCAGTCGGAGCGGCCTCTTGAGGGTGAGGCTCCCCAGCGATTGGGCATCGACGACGAGGTCCTCGCCGATAGTTAGCTATGTATTTCTATCTTTTTTCCCCAATTCCTTAAGAAACCAAAGAATAAGTGTCCCATCAATTCCTAAAAATCAAAGAAGACTAATGAGGAGAAGAACTATATCTATGTGTTGGGCTGAACTTTAGGATGATATTATTCCCCCCCCCCCCTTTCCATTTTCATGATATTATCCCCCCCCCCCCACCCCCACCCCCACGCCCCACCCCACCCCTCACGCCCTTTCGCTTTTCAGTATTAGTCCCCCCTCCTTTTTCAGATATTATCTCCCACCCACTTTCCTTTTTCAGATATTATCCCCCCCACTACGCCCCCCCCCCCACCCCCCCCCACCCCCAAACCCAAAGCCTTTTCCTTTTCAGATATTATCTCCCCCCCTCCCCTTTTGAGTATTATTCTCCCACCCCCCTTTCCTTTTCAGATATTATCCCCCCCCCCCCCCCCCCCCCCCCCTCCTTTCTTTTAAGCTATTTCGCTGAGACGGTTGACAGCTTGAGGCGGCGAGGGACAGGCAGGATTTTTTTTTTTTTTTTGCTGTTTACGCTGGCTATTACAGATGCTAAAGGAATTCAAGGACAAGGAAATAACTCTTACTACTCCTTTTCTGATAAGGGGTCACCCTTGAAGCTTGCTTTATTGATAAACAGTAAATAAAGCAGTAAATTGAAAAAAAAAATTGCTTATAAGCTATCTATGAGTCTAAGCAGCAAAATACAAGGAATTAAGAAACAAAGAAAAATAAAGGTAACAATATAATAACATAAATAAACAATAATCGTTGATTGTATGATCCTGTTCTAAGTGGTTGTTGTCAAATATATTGGGATCTTCCACGTCCCACTAGTCACTCGCCTCTTATCCTAGGAGTTCATTATCCACTTCCACGAACACAATGTTTACTAGAACAATTCTAGTAGCTGCAAGTGTGCGAAGTACTTTTGTAGTAGTGATAAGTACAGGTCAATGCAGCTGATGCACGTTTGGCTGGTAGGTGATTTCTCCCTTATAGTGTTTCGACCTTTTATATACTACGGTCATGTCTGGTTTTTTTTTTAGGTACCTGACTTTGGATTGGGATCCTCTACTAAGGCATAGTGCCTCCTAACATCTCCTAATGCATCTTCACCTTTCATTGCATAGTACCTCCTCGTATTTTGTGTTTATGCACAAAATGAAAGGTGGAGATCCCAATCCCCTGACTTTATCTTATTGCTACCAAATGGGTATTTCTGAAATTGTTAAAGCTTTCGGTATATTCTGCACATTTCAAATGACAACTTACTAATGGCGATTAACTCAGCCTTTGATAGTTGGGGGGGGGCGTTGGGGGTAGTAAACAACAATTTTCAAGATTTAAGGAACTAATTGCAGATAAAATAACCTCACCTATTGATGACTATTAATAGAATTAAATTCTAACAAATGAATCAATCCTCCACATTAAGACGGTTTATGAGTTCAACCAAACGTCACCATTAATTGCCATATATTCTTTCGCACGGAACATACGGCATTCAGAGAATTGCAATTAATTTGGAATTCATTAACAGTCTCGGACGTTTACCTAGTCTCTTGCCTCTAGCATTGAAACCGAAGAAATTTAATTGATTCAGATTAGGCAAACCACCAGTTCTCTTGGCTCGCTAACGGGTACTATGAAAAGAATCACCACAGCCTAATTCAACGCTCAGTCGCAAATTACACAAGATTGTCAATCACTCTAAAAATTGCAGAAACTGAGGACGGAGCTGTTGAAACCCAATTTACAGGAGCAACTCAACTTGTTTTATGGGCTAAACAAGATAAAATGTAATATTAAGCTCGTCAAACACTCTTTTATCTCTCGTTCTTTGTTACATAGGGCTACAGAAACATACACAAAATGCATTACCATTACAGATGAATATTGAGGTTTTACATCACAGAAGCACAGGTACTTGGCGCTTTACAGTGTAAGAACAAAATAAATACACACCTAATCCCCAAATCTCCACCACCTATCAGCTTTTACAATCAACCAAAGAATTGGCAAACAAAAAACAGAAAAAAAGGAAAGAGAAAAAGAAAAAGAAGATCACAGATATACATCACAATGGGGGGAAATTCCAGGGGATGCTTAAGAAATTCTCATCTTCGTCGCCTGGAGAACCCTGGAGAACCCACTGTTTGCTGTTTTCTGTAACTTGGGGAAGAAACTGGTGCTTGAAATGAAGAGAAAGAAGGCTTGACAGCTGCGCTCGGCTGAAGAGATGTCTCCATGAAGCATACAACATTAAGTCGAGTCCTCTCAAGTTCCCCTTCAAGCAGTTCTGTGCTACATTGATGTGCCAGCGCCTGAACAAACAGTAATTTTCTATTATCTCAAAACAGCTTGTGACATTAACAATTGCAGTGTACAGCAGAACTTTGCAAGATTTCGATCCCTGCCGTATGCCCGTCTGATCGTTTCTAATTTTGGATCAGGATACCCATACATCTAATTGTAGACGGAGATAGATCTTAGGCTTTGCTGAAATTGGTGAAATTTATAACTACAACCTTTTCAAATAGTTGGAAATCAGGGATGAATCATGTTTAACTCCAAAGTTCTTAACAATGATCACAGAATATCACATGACAAGGTTTCCAACAAGGAGCAACAATCAGATACAAATATAATAGATACTATCGGTCAATATATGATATAGAGAACTAAAAAAGGAACGAAGAAATTAGTTCTCTCTCAAATACAGAATCGCGCGACCTCCATGTATGCTGTTACATCCTTTTGTCCAAACTATCTCTTTCTTATCGATTTTCATTTAGATTCTCTGAACTAAATTTATCCAATTTCTATCAGAAATCTCCATAGAACATCAAATTTATTTCATCAATGGAAACTGTCAGGCACCTTAATGGACTGAGTTCTTACAGAAATGTCTTGCGAAAAGTACTTCTTAATAATGATGTAACTTTGCAATATTAGCAACACAGGTCAAATAAACGGGATAGCTTGAAAACAGAGAAATTACCCAAATTGAGAAGTTTACACAATGGATTGAAACAAACACAGCAGTTGAAGACTAACATGTCTGTTCGGGTGAGACGCTCTGTATTATGGACACAAGATGAAAAGCATAAAGCTTCAATAGTATTTATACATAGGTAGTTATATAGTCTTTTTGTCATACTAAAGGTTAGGGGCGCAAACCGGTCCGAATATGGATCAGATATGATTCTTACTATATCCGTATCCCATATCCGCATTGCCAATCACCGATATGGATACGGATATGCCTCGATAAGGAAAACTCATATCCATATCCGCTAAAATTGGATACAGATGTGGATATACATGCACATATAAATGCGGATACAAAATGGAAATGAGAAAACAAAATAATATTGAAAAAGATATAGTTCGTATAATGCAAGAGAGTTCATTAATATGTTTGTTATATTTAATTTGAAAAGGCAATATTAGATCTCTTAGTCATAAAAATTAGTCTCAAATTCATTAATCTAAGGATTAAAACAATTGCAGCTCCATAATCAACATATATTCGGATATGTTGGAAACAGATCCAGGTATTTCACTGCATGCCCATATCCGTAACCATATCCTATCAGTTATAGATTTGAGAAACCATATCGATATCACCATATCCATATCATGACGAGTACAGTTATCGATATGGTTTTGCACCCTTACTAGGGGTTCATATTAATCCCAGGGCAGAAGAACAAAAAGATGTGTCATAATATGTGTTTCATGCTTATAGCTTGCTGTTTTATTCGAAGGTAAAACCAGCTAAACATTGAAGAATTCTTAGAAGGATAGTCTTTACATCAAAAAATTAGTAAATCCTAAATTAAATTTCATAATTAAAAAGTTGCATAGCAAGGGTGGTTATTAGTGGTTTTCAGCGGTTGCGTTGAAGAAAGGTTTTAAGATTTTTGCATACAAAATCATGGATGGTTCTGAGTACTGCAGAACACAAGGATGATCCTAAAGGACATGATTTTAGAACAATACCACAAAATGTACTCGCATTCTAGCATGTGCAATGCACATGAAAGATTATCTAAATTTTATTTCATTATATATACACACATGTATATAAACAAAACATAGGTATATCACATATATTTCCAAATTTGAATACTTTCTCATTGGATATCTCCCGCATTTCAATTTTAAATTACGACTTCATCAATTTATTATATCTCCTATTAATATTGTCTGTGAATTTTTGATCCATTTATTCAGAACAATGATGAAGGACCATGCACTATGAAATCCACCATTTTGATGACCAATTTTCTAAATATGCTGCTTTTAGTTAAAACTTTTACAAAGCTGCGTTTTAATTCAATTAAAATTTACTTATAATCAGGCTAATATGATCCTTGCAAAATATCCAAATAGTTCCAATTTAAACTTGGGACCATATACAGATTGGGTGTGTTTATTAGAAACAGACCTCTCAAGAAAGAAACACCGATATGTTTGCAACTTTTATCAAGCAATATGGGAAAATAACAATTTTAACTTTTTCGGTTTTAAGGAAATGTTATAGCTTTTAGTGAGATAAAAAGCTGTCTACCATAGAGAAAATCGTTATACAAACATTCCCCATGACAATCTACATTTTTAAATCCAAGTATGATAGCGGGTCCCATGCGTTATGAAGTAACGTGCTTCTGCTTCTCATGAAAGGCCCAGGAAAATGGTAAAGTTACGAATTTGCCCTTGCATTTTGACTTAAAAAGGAAGGAGTATCCTATATTCCTATTAAATACTGTTTTCCCCTCTCAAAGTTCTTTATATCTTAGTATAGATAAAGACAAATAGGACTCCCTAAAACAATACCCCTTGCATATTTCCTTTGATTGTTTAGATCCTACGTCGTTCCGTTGTCAAGGTAGTACATAGACACAGCTGCATAAGGGCTCCCTTCACCTGCTCTGTCTGGATCTTCTCCCTCTTCTGTCTGTGGGTAAGCTCTGGCGCCTTCCTCCTATTTTGGCATATCAGCCTCTTCTCACATGTCCCTCTCTTTTTACTAATTGTCACATGTATCGTTCTTTATTGATGTTATGGGATTGGAGAGGGATCCTAGGAAAGTCTACCATACCGCCATAATTGCTTGTAGTCAGATCATCTATATACTTGTATATAACACCTAGCTTCTTAAAATCTTGGTCATTGAATAGAAATGCAGACACTTGTCCAGCAATTGACATGTGTTTTTTGTCTTTAAATTATAAATTGTTGGAAACAATAAAGAACAAAGGTGTGAAGAAACTAAAGGCAAACGCACATGAGAATTGTTGGTGATTCGTTAAGTATTGGCTAGATAGCACTTATATACCATACTGTTTCACCTACTTTTCACTTATATACCCCAACTTGTATTTGGTAGCAAGAAAATACCCCAAGGTTCTTTAAACTTGCACTTATATTCCTACACTTTTTTCCATGGCACTTAAATACCCTAAAGTTTTTATAACTGGCACTTAAATACACCAAAGTTTTTAAAACTTGCACGTACCTACCCTCAGTTATGCAAACTTGAGGGTATTCAAGTGCAAGTTTTAAATTTTATCGGATATTTTAGTGCCAGTTTTATAAACTTAAGATTTTTTAACTGCCAGTTTTAAAAGAGTTAGGGTATGTAAGTGCCACCAAAAACAAGTGATGGTATATAAGTGCAAATTTAAAAAAAAAACTTTAGGGCATCGTCTTGCTACCAAATACAAGTGGGGGTATATAAGTGAAAAGTAGGCGAAACAAAAGGGAATGTAAGTGCTATTTAGCCTTCTTCGTAAAATATTGTATTAGACACCAACGTTCAACAAAGTTACAATTTACATCTTCTATTTCGACCATGGAACTAATTTCTATCTAAATAAATTAACATGAAAGCAATACATGTTTAAACACTCCTCTTCATTAAATATTCTAATCTGAATGTCAACACACAGATATGCATATTAACATCTGTATACATATGGTATCTTAAACTTTTTTCAGATTTTCTTTATTCATTTACCCATAACGTGCAATATCCAAATCGGTGGATCATGTGTGTCTGTCCATTTACACATATATACTTTTTTGGACCCATGTTGTACCTGTGTCCTAATCCTAGAAATTTCTAGCATCGTTAATCACTGTGTCTATATCTCATCGTATAATGTCCATGTTTCACATTTATCGCCACACAGCTTACTTTTTATCATGAATATATTGGAATTTCCCTAGGTTCCAAGGATAAAATAAAAAATTAAAAATTACTAATATGTAAGATATAGACCTTAAAATAATGCAATGGAGTGGAATTTCCCAGTTTTGTGATTTCTTTGCTTTTTTTACTATAGATGTATTTTTTACATTTTCGCCCAAAATTTCCATAACATCCAAATTAAAGGAATAAGAAAATGTTATACCAATAATAATATAAATGAAGTTTGCAGGAAAACTGAGTAAATAGAAAAAGTATCTTACAAGTAGATCATCTGGAGATACAGTTGATCCTTGTGGTTTATCATCTGCCATTGCATCTTCACTACCGCGTGTTGATCGGCGATGGTGTCCTGGATTCTCAATAGGCTCACTAGAACTCTCACAAGCTTTCTCTAACAATAATCCTTGTAAAGACTTCAGAGCTTCATGAGCTTCGGGGGAGAAATATGTGTGCAAAACAGTTTCAAAATATTCAAGCTGCAAGAGAAGTGATAAATATTACAAAGCCTATTTATTGCAAGTTGAATTTACGACACATGTTTCAAGACTATACTAAGTTATAAATATGGTAGATTTAGACAGAAAACAATTGAAGATGAAAATTGTATTTGGGTCAGTGTTCACCTCTAGCATAAGTTGACAGAAACCATTTGCGTCCAACAATTTGAGATCTTTAGCTTTGTGTTCTTGGTAAAGGCTGAGAAATGTGTCGATCAGACCCTCCACTAATATACCAAGCGTCTTCTCCAACAATGGCCTGGCACCAGAAAACACCTGCACGGATTACATAACTAGAGTTCTTAATAGCTGAAAAAAATTCCATGTTTACAGTTGCCTAGCGCATCATGACTTACAAAGTTTAACTAAATGTTCAATAAATCCGAAAACAACAAGGAACTCCCTGTTCAAAATGGGCAACCATCTCTAAATCATGAGTTTCCAAAGTGGTACCTAACTCACACTTTACAAATGGGTTCCTACTGCTTGCCCACATAAAGAGAGGACTAACCAAAACTTACAATTGAATTATCAATAATAATGAACCTGTGAAAATGGACCTACCCACAAGAAAATTAATCAACAATGTAGGATGACTTTCTCTTGGGAAATCTCAGAAATGTATGAAGAAAAAGGGAGAAAGGTGTGAAAACTTCTTTTAGTATAATTTTGGTTTTAGTAGAAATTTTCTTGTAGTGTTATCTGTACGAGAAAAATTATTAGTTAGAAATTTTAATGGATTAGGAAAACTTTCTAAAATCTGTTATCAGAAAATTCTTATTTTAATATGATTAGAATTCTTTCTTATTAAGAATTAGTTTCTTGGTAATTAAATTTTGTAAAATATATAAAGGAATCTAATTTTTCTTCCATAAAGTTATGAAGATATTTATGAAAAATTATAATTTCTCTAAATTGTGTCAGTGAGCTTGGGTGTTGAGCACTAGTTTTTAAAGGTGTGACCTTAAGTGACGTGAATACACTGATGTAGGCACTGTTTTAAAAAACCTCCGCCTAGTCCGCTTAGGCGTATGCCTAGGCCTAGGCGGTACCTAGGCCGCCTAACTAGCGCCTAGGCGGTATTTAGGCTGCCCACCTAGATTTTACGAGCAATTATGGGAACATTGTCTGCTTACGTGGATTGTACCATGTAGGCCTTGATTGTGATTTTATGTGTCGTAGCCTACACGTCCTCCAAACTCTATTAACCTCCAAATATGAACATCTCCACTACCTCCTCCGACCTTCAGCAAAACCTCATCGACCACCACTTAAATGAAGAAAGAAAAAAAAAGGCCCAGAAACCGCTTAGGCGCCCGTCTAGGCGACTAAGCGCTGGGCGTCAAGTCCGACGCCTATAAGCGCCCAGCGTTTAGTGTAACATTGGATGTAGGCATGAGACAAAATTATAATTGTGATTGGTGTTATGGCACAAAAGTGATTCCAGAAACACCCCAAATCCCTCAACCTACTCTACTCTCTGTATCTTTTTCTCTGCCTTCATTCTTTACTTCTTTGTTGTCGAGTCGCTTTCATTTGGTATCAAACCAAAAGGGAACCAATATCATAGCTATGAAATTTAAATTACTCCAAATTTCAGATTTTTTTGTGGATGACAATGAGTCATTGATGGAGCTTTTTCAATAAAAAACAAGGGCTTTGCTTATAAACTCTAAGTTTTACTTCCATTTACCAAATATCCCACCAAGTCCTATATGTTCCATAAACCCAAATACAGAGTTCGCTGCCCTTTAAACCCAAAACAGAGAGTACAAGATTATTTTATTCTAAATTTGAAGTAAAAAAATAAAATTTCCCAAACTGTCCTCTTCTCATACTCTCCATTTAATCCAATGTTTTTCTCCTGCTCCTCCATTTACCAAATATCCCACCAAGTCCTATATGTTCCATAAACCCAAATACAGAGTTCGCTGCCCTTTAAACCCAAAACAGAGAGTACAAGATTATTTTATTCTAAATTTGAAGTAAAAAAATAAAATTTCCCAAACTGTCCTCTTCTCATACTCTCCATTTAATCCAACGTTTTTCTCTTCCCTTTTCTCCTGCTCCTCCATGCCCCCTCTCTTTTGTTCTAGCCATATCCTCTCCACCCTCTCCTCTTGTTTGTCCATGCCCCACCTCAAGTTCCACTCTCAGTCATCTGCCTTGACATCCAACTCGTTGCGATCAGAATAAAAATTGTTGACTCGCTTCTTGTGAGGTCTATTCAGGAGTATGCAGATGTCACCCTCATTGACCCGTATGATTTCTTTCTCCGCCACTTGGTTTTCAGCGTTACACAACTATATAGTTGTACTATATGACCGTAAGCAAAGAAATGTATCGACATTTCTTTTTCATAATATTACTTCTCTTGATTTGGATTATGATTTGTCAGAGAAAGTTTGCATCGAAGCACGGGAAGGTGGCAATTAATTGATGTGAAATTACATGTTCACCTCCTTTCAAGAACTTGAAAGGGTTTTTCATTTAAATGAGATCTTCTATGTATTGTTTTAAGCTCTTTGTTTCTAATTCTAAAAGAGGATGAATTTGTTGATTAGATGTAATAATGCTTATATATAAAGGAAATGCCAAAAAGGTGATTATTTTCATTTCTCTTGTTACCTTTTGAGTATGATGATGATGATTGAGCAAGAAACTGGCCTTGACATTGTTGATAATTGTGACCGGCACAATGTTAGATGTTATTAGTATTAGTAAATATTAGTAGATAATAGTAAATATTATGAGATACATTAAATGTTATTAGATATGATTTTATCTCGTACCTATTTAGTAATATCATCCTAATTTCAATTTAAGAGAAATTAAGATTTAATAGAATAATAACTGTCTTTTCTCTTACTCTATAGGATATTAAGCCAGGTTCTCAATCCTAGACAATGTTTTAAATATCGGATGTCGGGTTCATGTCGGATGGCTGAAATCCATATCGGATAGCGAAAATCGGGGATATATCGAGGGACATTGACTAAATATCGGATTGCCATATCGGGTAGTGTGCTTATGTATAATATCATGTCCTAAATGTAATCTAAGCATTCATAAATTCAATATAAGCATACTTTATAAATTCTATAGACTAAATATATAAAAAAGTAAATAATATATGAATTTGGGTTCATAAATTCTTTCTATTGGGTTCATAGGGAACCCTTAAACATGAGAACAAGCCAAACGGGTTTGGGTATTTATCACTAAACTCAAACTCGATAACAAAAAACATATCTTAAAAAAAGTACCATATCGGTTAATTTTTCAAACCTAAAAAATAGGCCGATATGCCCGATATGACCCTGATATTTCCGATTTGGCCTTAAAAACCGATATACAAGTTGAAAACGTCCATGTCGTGTCGGTCAAGCCCTCAAACCGATATGTCGACCGACATGTGAAAACGTCCATGTCGTGTCGGTCAAGCCCTCAAACCGATATGTCGACCGACATGTCGGACATGTCGGTCGATATTTAAAACCTTGATCCTAGAGATCTCTCTTTTCGTTCTTAATCTTGGGGCTACCAAAAGGGTTTCGTGCAATCTTCACACTTCCCCTCAGCGGCTTCGATATCACGGACAATTTTGTTTAAACCTTCTTTAAATTGATTGACATCATTGGTTCCTAAAGCATTGCCACTGTCACCGGGTGTTATTCACTCCGAACCCACAACCTATTTTACTGTGAACAGTAAAATCTGCAGATTGTTCATCATGAACAGCAACCTGTGGCACTGTTCACGGTAACCCTTCCCCCTCCACAGCTCTAGCTAATCCATCTCACTCAAAGGGAATATTTTTGTTCACTCAACAAAAAATAATAGCACTAAGTTATGAAAAATAGGGTATATAAATCAAGAAAAAAGGAGGGCATATAAGTGGAAAGGTGAGTAACTGCATGGTATTTAAGTGCTATTTAGCCTTTTATTTTAATTGATAAACATTCTAATTTATAAAGCATTGCTCGTCTTATAGTTATCATATGAAATTTTGCTTCAACTTCAATGGTAGAAATTTGCACTCATACTTTTTGATGATCATGATTTGATTTGATGAACTACACATAGAAGTCAGAAACGTGGTACACTATAGCGAGCCGAGACCCGGGTTCAATCGTCCCAGATTCGTGCAAAACACGACCAGATTCACGAACTCCAACAACCCGAATTAGAATTCAAATTAGCTAAAATTTAAAAAAATATATATAACTCTTTTTTAGAGAATAAACATTGAAAACGTGAGAAAATAAACAAATAAAGTATGCATATCTTAATTGCAACCTGATTCTTAAGCTTCTTTTACCATTGCGAATATCAACTAGCATTTCAGAACCGAACCTAAGAACGAAGCCTACCCCTAGGCCTGTCCATCCGGGCCGGCCCGGCCCGGAAATCCGGGCCCGGGCCGGGCAAAACCGGAGCCCGGATCCGGGTACCCCGGGCCGGGTCCGGGCCCAACCGGACCGGGCTCCGGGTCGGCCCGGATTTTTTTTAATTTTTTTCTTTTCTTTTTTTTTGATAAAAAATGCTAAAAATTAGTTTAAATTTATTATTTTTTATATAATTATGTATTAGTATATACTTATAAATTATTATGTAACTATATATTATATATACATATATTATATATATTATATATACATATATTATATGTAAATATATTGTATATATTTATAAGTTATAACTTGAGAGAGAGAAAATCGCATAAGTAGCCATTGCCCGTTGGGCCAATGGGGAAGAAGTAGCCGTTGTAATATACTATAAGAGAGAGTATACATATATAAGAGAGAGTATACTTATATATACATATATACTAAGAGAGAGTATACATACACACATATTATACATATATAAGAGAGTATACTTATATATACATATATACTAATAAGAGAGAGAGTATATATATATACACACATATATTATACATATATAAGAGAGTGTATACTTATATATACTTATATAAGAGAGACTATACATATATAAGAGAGAGTATACTTATATATACATATATACTAAGAGAGAGAGTATACACACACACACATTATACATATATAAGAGAGATATATACATATATACTAAGAGAGAGAGTATATATATATATACACACATATATTATACATATATAAGAGAGTGTATACCTATATATATTTATATAAGAGAGAGTATACTTATATATACATGTATAGTATAAGAAAGAGTATACATATACATACATACATACATTATACATATATAAGAGAGAGTATATATACACACACATATTATACATATATAGAAATATATTATATATACATATATTATATATATACATATATAAAAATATATTATATATACATATATTATACCTATATAATACATATAAAAAAATAAAAAAATACTATTCCGGGCCGGGCCGGGCCGGGCACCAAAAAGGCGGCCCGGGCCCGGCCCGGAGCCCGGACTTGGCCCGGGTTTCCGGGCCGAGGCCGGGCCCCTACCTACCCCCCTCATACCCGATTCTTAACAAGTGGCGTACCACGTTCTTGTACCCATCCCTTGAATAAGAATGAAATGGGTTCAATGCAACTATGGGACCACATCAACCTCAATATCGTCATCTCAACAATTGATTATCCTAAATAATGAAAGTGGTAAACTTAGTTTTTTTTTTTTTACTGTTAATATAATAAATCTAGATATCTTCAGACTTCAACACTAATAATTTCTAGGTTTGTACTTTTTTGAAAGTAAAACTGCATATTTTCAACCAATTCTCTACTTTGACATTTAGAAAAGGCCAATATTGGTAAGAAGCAAGGAAGGCATAAAATGTAGCAAGTAAGAAAATTCCAGTTCTCCTTTTCTCTTTGTATCATATCCCGTCTTTCAAATAAAATTAAAGCTAGTTGGATTCACAACAAGTAAATTATATATACATAAGTTACGACATGCAACACTCATAGAAGTCAATATTTTTCTACAAGCCTAGTATTGATAATTGTTTTTAAAATCCTTTCATGCCCTAGGGCATAACTAATTTATTTATGCACCCTTAGAAAAACATGTATTACGTAGTAAAGATGGATGATCAACTATATCCAATTTAATTTACATTTCTTAAACCATATATTAATAACAGACAATATACATTGTGCCTTGTTCCTCGTCATGCATAATCGTTCATTGTAGTCACGTTCTAAGTTGCATGGATATGGGTACGGGTGTGATACAGGACACCACAAATATGTAAAAGGAAGGGTACAGAGACACGGCTGAAACGCAGACTAAATTTGTGGTTCTAAGCTAGATATGAAAATGACCTATTGAAGTCATAGTATTTAACTAAATATGGTCTGAAACGAACACTACCATAGCCCAACAAGTTTTAAAAGTGGTTATGAAGCGTAGGAGATATGTCCAAGAGGTGCATTGACGAGCCTTTAAATTAATGCTTTTATCATATAATTGAATACGTGTCTGAATAAATATATGTACATATTTAAGGAGTGCCTAGGAAGTGTTGGTACAAGTAGGGGTATAGGATGTGTTGTGTACGGCTTCACGATAGAAGTACCCACGCTACAGAATTCATATATGATCGGATTCAGATAGAATCACACATCACCCTGTCATTAACATTTCATCCCAAATCTCAACAATAAATCTTGAGTATTAACTCCCTCTGATGTATTACATAGAAAATAGCTCACACATTAAACAAAACCTAATTTCTCAGCGTGGAAGATTTGTCTAGATGAATTCCATTAACATCACTCGCTGAGTCTTCACATACATCTTCTTTCTCCTAATATGAGGAACTATTTGGTTGTAAAATTATCTATATCCATCTCATAACCTTATATTGTTTGCAATACACCCTTGTAATTAGACATCCTTGCATCATAACAATCCAAGTTCTTCAATGCCCAAAATCAATGGATTGGACAGCTAACCAATCTAGTGGGAAACGAACCACACAAATAGAAGTTTATCTAGTCAATTCCCTGGCTCATTAAAATTGATTATATCCAACACTTTTTATTGGTTTTCCTCCTACTCAAACACCTTCAAATGTGCATCTTCATCCCAATCACTTTCAATGCTTCTTTAACCTTGAATACAAGATAATAAACATAACAAACCTCCATTATTCTAAGGCATTCAAGCCGTAAGCATTCAAGCCGTAAAATTATAAAAGAATTTTTAAGAAGTCTTAATCTTTTCTTATTCCTCCTCTCCTTGAGTCTTATAATAATATGTCACGGCTTATGTAAACATGAACCTATCCACCCTTAGTGTTAAATGTAACTCCAACTTGTCCCAATATTGAACAAGATTTTTCTAGCTCTACTTTGGTGGAAGCCCTAGCCAGCTAGCTGCCACCATCATAACAGATTAAAATACCATTGGACTGGTTGACGATTGGTTATCTAAATTTTCTAGAGCCTAAAACCACTAGCAACTAACTAGTCAACTAATCTATCATTTATTTAGCTGTTCGATGCACTAAAACTTTCTTTATCCTGCACCTTTTTTCCATTTCCATCATTCCACTCAAACACCTGCGAAATCCTTCTGATCTGGGTTTTTTACTTTTAATCTATTACTATTATTTAAGAAAATTCACACTTTTGGTTTTACCCCTATCTGTGTTAAGATTTCAAAAAATTCAACACTTGTCCTCAATAATTTATATTACATTGAAACTAATTAGAAGGAAATTTTTGAAAAGATCTAAAAACACCCTAACAAGAATCAACTACTCTATAACTCTCCCCACTCTCCACATTTTCTAATAGTAAGACACTTTATATCACTTATGGTAATAATTCTATAAAAAGCTATTCATATTAGCATCGATTATTAAAGTGTTATAAATATTTTTTATGCACCAGTTTACTATGTAATGCATGAATCGCGTGTACTGGCGAACTGGTGCAACAAATAAACACAAGATCAATAAATACTACAACTTAAATATGTGCAAGTAGTGACTAGTGAGTTAAAGTTTAAACATTGTGGAAAACTGATGAACATTACAGAATGCAAACATTATGAATACGCTAAGCCTACAGGTTACATGAGGTTATCATTCAGAACTTTAATGGAATTTGAAGCAAGGAAAAGTTTCACAAACATGAAAATTATGGGAATATTTAGCGTACCTCAGCATGCACAGCCACAAGACAATGTAGTAATTCAAGAGTAGCATCTCGAATACCCTGCATAATTTACAAATTATTTTTCAACAATAAAACAGAAGTTAATGCATATGGAAGGATTAAAAGATGAGAAAAGTGGGAACATTGATCAAATTTCACTTACCTTCACTGCAGGTGCACCTCCCCACTGAACACCAGAATCGAAGAGATAGTTTGATGCAGCAACTCTGGTCAAGTTTGACTGATTGATACACAAAAATACAATATTAATATGTACAGAACCGGTAGAAGCCTAGCAATCTACACCTCATTTTGTCTGTTACAGATTTTACAAAGACAAATGACAATGTATATCAAAAGTGCAGTAAATGATGGAAAGCACTAATAAAACAATTTAATCTATGTTTCTTACGACTTCACATCTAAAACATAAATACAGGAATAAAAAGAAATTTCTTGACAGGTGTGTGTACTTAAATAATAACAATGCTTTCGGAGAAAAGACTCAAAATTTATGCAATTCACAACTTCCAATTATACGTCCATTGAGAACATGCATGTTCAATATCAATTTCTAACCTACAGTTTGAGATAGGAGCCAAGGAGATAACAAGCAAATACTAATGCATATATAATTCATCGATTGATCACAGGCTCAACCATTGCGTATAAGTAACTTTCATTCCCTAATCTTTTGCATTTAGGGATAAATAATTTTCTCAATAAATGAATGAAACTCTTAACTGGCAAAGCCTCTTAGTAAATAATGCACTTCACACTAACCTTTGCATATGTGTAACTTTCCAGGACTTTCTCCTCAAGAGCTGAAAATGATGTTACAAGATCTCGTATATCAGCATACTGTTCCTCTTTTTCCCTGTATTAGGCAAAATTGAAGTGTTATTACAAATACAGCATTTTTACATGGTTCACAAATGTCCAGGTTCATTGTCCATCAAAAACACCAAGGTCATTGATGAGCATGAGGGACTTTATGCAATAAACCATTATAATGTAGCATGGTAGAGCAAACTCTCGCAACAAGAAGATTGTGAATATGAAGAATAATTGGTTTAGAGCTATACTCCAACTAGGTACAGTTCAAGATGGTTAGAGTTAGTGGGGCACAATATCTAGCCATAATAGTGAAGGTTTGCAATTGCTTGTTTTGTCGGACATATCTTTTGCACAAGCAATGCATTGCCTGCCTACAAAGTGAAAGGCGAAAACTTGATTATATTTGCAAAGTGGGGTTTAGGTATAATTTCATTACAACTTCGCCACAATAAAATAGAATTTTTCATAGTGAATAAAGTACGATGAAGACCAAATTTTATGAGGACGTAAACAAGACATTGACCCTCTAACTGATCGAGAAATTCTAGCAAAGAATTTTGCGTAAGAGAGAGTGAGAAGGATTGTACTAGCAGAGAAATCTACGGGTACAGGAATTATTGCGTAAGTGCTAGGACTCCAGTCAACAGATAGGGAAACCTAACTACTCGATCATGTATTTTAAAGGTTGCCACCAAGAATCACCATACAAATATGGGTTGAAAAACAATCCAAAATTAATCACTTCCTGTAATACTCTTGTTCGCCTACTACAAATGTTCAGTTCTGATTCAATTATAGTTCCTAAAATGCTAAAATATATTTTATTCCTAGAAAAATAGTTTTCTCTAATTAAATATAGCAAAAAAACCTAAAACTTAGCTGACAGTGACAGCTAAACAGATCTAATAGCTGCAAATCAGACTTTGTCTGAGTTCTCACCACATTGACCACAATTGAACATGAAGCATCAACTGCCCAACAGCAGATTGCCCATGATCCTAGAAAATTATACTTGTGAAACATCCAAGTCTTCTTTAATTTCTTGGTATGGTAAGAGGGGTTTAGGTATTATTCTCAAGTAGCTAGAATTTTGGTTTAGATCATAATTCTGAAGATCACAAAAAGCTCGCCAGGTCAATGTAATCACATCATAAACAAGCTTCTATATCAAACAGCTAGTGGTAAATATTGGAGAGATATCTCAAGAAAGAAAAGGAAGAAACATATTTATAAGGATCTCATCTGATAGAAGAAGTGGTGCTCATGACATACCTAAGCCATATGTGTTTGTACTTGTTGTATAGACTATGGCAAAGTTCATCTTTGCAATACCCAATGTTACTCAGGACGATTAGAAGCTTTTTATGGGAATCACCTACAGCACCACCAGAATGCACACCAGGCAATTCACTTTCGAATCCATTCATATAGCCATTTTGTAAATGACTTTCAATATTCGATCTATTTTCTGAGAGTTCACCACCAATCCGTTCAAGAGAACCTAATAATTTCACAAATTCAAACTAATAGTCAACATGAAAAGAATAACAAACTGAAGAAAAGAGCTGAAAAACAAATTGATAGATCTCATTGTTTCAGTATACCTGCGAAATCCAGGAAACAGTTCAGAATTGCAATTCTAGCAGCTTCTTGTATTTCATTAAGGTGGTCTGACATGTCCACAAATCTTGTAGCCTCGCTTCTAAGATTCTGAATCATACTGGAAGAAATGAAGAAACTAATTCAATTTGAACAGGAGATAAGACTATTATCACAAGAGTAAATGAATGTTTGACTAGCACTAACATCATTTATTTTGTTTGAATTAAATATCAATGTGTCAAAAAGCTCGGTATGAAGCTCACTTCATGCATTATCAAAATATAACAGTCACAATTTTCTACACAGACAATGACCTATAATATCCAATTTATGAAGCTCAATTTATTTGTTCAAAACTTATGCTATTTGGCATAAAGCTTACAGTCTTGTGCTTCAGCACAGAAAATTTTTTGATCCCTGCCTCTTTTACTGTTGCTCCATCTCTGCCACTGAGTAGTTAGAAAGATCTGCACCAATTTTAATCTACAAAATAACCGGGTGGAAGTTATACTAGCATCTAATCTTTCATTGGCATTAATTGTATTTTTTTTCCACACTGAAGCTTCTTTGTCTTTCCTATTTCTCTAATCATCTATCACATCACTAAATTCCACCAATGAAATACCCACTCTTTTCTGCTGCATGATGCAAATTAGATGCAAAATTATTTTCTTTCCTTGTATATTTATATTATTAACAAATTCTCAAGCTTCCACTTTCTTTGAATTTATACTTCTCTTTATTGAAGGATCGAGCCCTTCTCTTTGTGCTTTTGCTTTTTTAAATGTTGGTTCGAACGTTATCAATATCAGAAATACACAAGTTAAAACTCCAATTATCAGATGCAAAAATATTAAAGCATAGTTATCGCCTACATTACCTTATGTTTGCCACCACAATTTACATTGTTGAGGTGTGCAATGCAATAAGGGAAACAAAAAATAACATCGAAATCTCGCAGTGCAAACTTCTTTTTTCTCTATTCAGTATAGTTAAGGGACACTTCCTCTAATAACCTGACTATTATTACACTAGTCTGTTTTCCTCCATCAACGATGATCTATTGTTCCGAAGTCCAAACTGACCACACTCAGCTCTTCTAAGTGTTATCTCCTCTGTTAGTAACGATCATATCCTTTCTTGCTCCCTCAAAATCCTTATTCAGCTCTATAATACTCCTAGACGTGCCACGTAAGACACTATTACACAACAGTTATGCACTGTGGTCCTCATTGCACATTACACAAACCATATCATTTCTTGGGAAGGTACCTCTAACTTCTTATAGGTAAGCACTTGTTAAACATTTTAACTCATTATGGGCGAGGACAGATTTTTTTTTTTTTTTTTTGAATCCTATATTTTAGCTTATTTCACTCATCTTTCTAATTGTAACTACATCAAGTAAAATATGTAAACTGCTATATTCAGTACCCACCGAGCCTTGCCAAGCTGTCTTGCATAGGTTTAAGATTCCTTTCATGCTGTCTTGCATAGGTTTAAGATACCTTTCACAAATCATTTCATATGGACTTACAAGCCTATACATCATCTTATCTTTATGCAACTCTGGCTGTTTCTCCAATGCACCCATTCCTCAATTAATTATCTCAATTTCATATATCATCAGGCCACACATTCTTGTTCCAACATGCTACAGCCCATAAGATAACAACTTATCTTTCAGGAAGGAAAATTGCAGACCAATAAATTATTAATCTATTATCTCATAGAACGAAAATTCACTGTAACTACTAAAGAAATTTAACAGAAGAAAACAATATTCTCATTTGTTATTAACAACAAGCAAATACTTACGCATCAATCTGATTCATCGCAGACACTGTCATTGCTCGAAATGCCAGGGGCAAGTAAGAAATTGCATATGGAGATTTGTTCCTCTCCAAAGTCGATAAAGGAATCCAAACTTCCTCTTTGGATATCTCCTGAGTTGTTGCCCGCATCCACGTGCATAACCTTAGTATATGGATCTTTGTAATTTCAAAATGAAGGGAACGCAAAGATTTAACTGAAAGAATCATGCAAAAAATGCTCAGATAAAAGCTTCCTAAACACCAAGAAAATGTGTAGCTTTAAAAGAATAAATAACTACCTGCAATGGGCGGCGCAGATTCTTTTCCCTCAAGAGCCAAACATGCTTTAGCTATTTCCTTTATAGCATCACTCATGTATGGACAAAGAATATTTGATTCTTCAAAATCTCGAAACGTGCTATGAACCTGTCACAAGAATAGCTTTTAAGTCTTTCATTCTTAGAGTACAATATGAGAAGTAGAACAACGGACTGCATGACAATAGAATTAAAAAAGAAACATGCTTTAAGGAGTGGCATGAAATAAGCACTGTACATAATATTGTGTCTTCATTGAATATAGAAAGGAAACATTAAGAGGCTATTTATTTAGCAATAACATAACAGGAAAATATATCAAACTAATAAAGTGTTATGTCATTTAATACCATTTAATTTAAAGCACCGAAGTCAAATGAGGTTAAAAATGCTTGCCACATCAGTGTTACGCAACTATGGCTATGTCAGTAAAACTTCGGAAGCTTGCTTTCCTGGATCTTCAAACATCAAGCATAATTTGAGTTTGTGTATATTTTAAATACACATGTACACAAAAATAATACTCTACACTAAAAATCCCCTTCATTACTGGTCCACATAACGCAGATGAGGTTATCAGAAAGGATTTGATTAAACCCAACAAAATAAGGGTGGTTTCACAAAGAAAACTAACTGGAAAAAAGAAGCTTATGGATAAATAGACATAGACTACTGTAGAATAAAGTTTAACCTGCACTTGGTAGCTAAAATGTCTAAACATCAATATTATTACAGTTGAAACAGATAACAAAAAGAAAGATAAGTAGTTCAATTTTTATTGTGTAACCATCAACTGGATGTTGGTCAAAGAGGACTTATGCAGGAGATGCTTTTATTAATGTTCACTTCGTATATATTAATTTATTATTGTTAGTCAAAACAAATGAGAACTCTAGATCAGAGTCCCCATTGATACAAGACTGTAATCTGTTTCCTGGCATATTTGCATGTATTATATCAATATATGCACAACAATTATTCTCATGAACCAAAAGGTCCGGTTGGTCCACAAACACATGTGCTGTTTACATATTATTGGTTGTTTTTAACTAAACCAGAGTGCTTAAGGGGCCAGTTCCAGAAGAGTCCGTTGATCAGTCTGATCGTGCTTGAAAAAATATTTTCATAGACCAAGGGTTTCGATAACATGAACTTCCAAACACCGCTGCGGAAAGAATACATCTTAAAAGTTTTTTTTCTAAGGCTTTGAACTCAAATTCATCAGAAGGGGTAAACTTGCAGAAAGCTTGTAATTTACTAATTAGGACAGATGCTATCTTCCATTGTCAAACTTCAAATAAGTAGTATTATATTCTTTCTTGAGATTAATGTCTCTCGAGACTGATGGCATTGTCTATAAAAGAGGAAATTCTCCTATGGTTATGATAAACAAACTCTCTACACCTTGGGTTGAATGATCAGCATTGTCCATTGTTTTTACTTTCTAGTTTATCAGTCTTCTCATACTGCAATCTGAGCACGGTATTGATCTGGATTACCTGCCACAGAATATAGAGAACCTATAAAGGTGTACTCTAGATGTATTCAATCTTCAAAGTCCGCACCACAGCTCTTCGAAGTCTATTCTTCAGATATACAACTGGGTAGAATGTTAACCCAATTAAACACATTTCTAACTCTCCATATCATCCTGAGCCAGTAACGTTTGATCTTGATGTTCATATTGCCTTATGAGAAGATAGACATCACTGTACAGCATGACAGCTCATTATTGGTCAAATTTTGTCTCTTATGATCATTTTCTTCCTCTTTTAATGCATTTCTTTCCTCTATTAACAAAACTCTATTCCCAAATTTTTCTCTATCTATTTCTTTCAAGTTGGAGAGAGGCTTTGCAGGAAGAACTTATAGTTCTTGATAAAAATAAAACATTGGATTTGGTTCCTCTACCATAGGGGATGAAAGCAACAGGCTGCCGATGAGTTTATGCTGTGAAATTAAGATGGTACACTGGATAGACTGAATGCTCGCCCAGTGGTGAAAGGATATTCACAGATACACAAGTCAATTATCTGAATACTTTCTCCCATGTCGCTAAGATGACCTCAGTAAATATGTTCATCCCCCTTGATGTAATCCATCATTTGGGTAGTCTATTAGGTAGACATCAAAAATGTTACCTAAATGATTTCTTAGTGAGGTCTATACATAGAAACTATTTGGCTTCCTGCACAGGAATCAAGGAAATTGTAAATTAAAAAGGTACTTTTGTAGTTTAAACAATCCTCCAAGGGCTTGATTTGGGATATTTACTCCAGTAATTCAGGACGTTGGATTTTGATGCATACAAAACATTGTTCAGCCTTTGTTCGTCAGCATAGTGGAAAAAAGATTACTTCTACAGTACATGTTGATAATATTGTCACACAATGATGAACAAGGGATCAATGATTTAAAAGCATATTTGCCTATCACGTCAAAGATCTAAGCTATTTAAAGTATTTTCTCGGGTATTGAGATGGCTGCCTCAAAGATGACTCAACAGAAGTATGTCTAGAGACTAGATCTACTATTTGAGATAGAGATGTCAGGATGCAGACAGCTACAAGCACCGGCCACCGACACTAATTTGCTAACTGCTATCGAATCCACCGACACTAATTTGCTAACTGCTATCGAATCAGTAGTAGTTTCTGAAAATGATCCAGAAAGGCAAACGAGAATGGTTGGTAAGCCAGACATTTCCTTTGTATTAATTGTTGTACGTCAATTTTCATCTGCTCCTCAATCAAGTTATAACAGCAGGCAGCAGTTTGGATACTCTGATGCTGAAGAATGCTCCGGAAAAGAATTTTAACATTCTGATTGTTGTGACAGTCACATAACAGTTTTTTCTAATGCCAATTTGTCTGGTCCACAGGTTAGCAGGAGATTTACGGCGGGATACTCCGTATTTTTTAGAGGCAATCTTATCTCTTAGAGAAGAACCAGTGTTGTATTTCGTTCTAACGCAAAGTTAAGAGTATTGAGCAATGGATAATACTACCTGTTAGTATTGGATTTGGATAGAAGCACATACTCAGTTTTGGCCTCTACAGTCTAATACAGTTACATTGTGAATAGCAACCGACAGATAAGCTAACCAAGGAGCGTGTGTTTTTTTTCCTTGCCACACCACGAGGCGCTATAGGGGAGTCGGGTTGTTTGGAATGCAGCCCCAATTGGGCGGTAAATTCCGTCCAAGGCTAAATAGCGGTGAGATACTGATAGCGAACAAGTACTGTGAGGGTAAGATGAAAAGGACTTTGGAAAGAAAGTCAACTTGTGCTTGAATTTGCCAGGAGGGAAGCGAATGGGGGCCGGAGATACGCGCCGGCCGAATGCGGAACGACACCTAACGGGGGATGTTCCGTCGCTCGGCTCGGTGCGCGGACCGTTGCGGGCCTCGCTTTCCTTTTGTGGTGGGTAACCAGACATCAATTCATATTGCAGAAATCACAGTTTTCATGAACATACGAAACATATTGAAGTAGATAGTTATTTCATGCATCAAGAGAAGTCAGAAGCATAAGTATTTTATTTGTAACAAGCTTGGCATGTATGATATATACACACACACATAGACACACACAACTTGAAGGGAAGTGTAAAGGAATATATTAGGATATCGAAATCATTGTTTTATAAAATAGGCTGGGCGTCCTCTAGCCGCTCGCCTAGGCCTAAGTGATATCCTAGGTATTGGGAGCACCTAAGGGAGCATTAGGGGCTTACATGAACTGCATCAAAAGGGGTATATTGCTGGCTTAGACTTGCTTAGGTATAGTAACAAATGAGGAGAATGGGCTAAGTCAAAATGGATCAGATCAAAACGTTATATCCAAATCCATCTTAGGTAAAGAACGAGGATAGTTGGATAGGAATTTGAATCTTCAAAAAGAACCCTTCCATTGTTGATATTAGAAACGCCTATGTGTCGCTTAAGCATCTACCTACATGCTTGACTGCTAGGTGCTTGGTCTGGCGCATAAAAGTGCATAATGCGTTCCAGAATATTGATCAGAAAAGGATATATAGAGATATGGTAAGGTAATATAAGAAATGTGTTGAGAGGATATATTTAGAATATTTTTGTGAATATGTATCGCATGTTTTAATCTCTTGTGAAATAAATAATTTTTACTAGGGCTCACATTGAGCTTATTGATTTTCCTCAGAGCTATTCTTCTCAGATGAGTCATAAAGACACTCCAATAAAGAGCACACGTTTTAATCTCGTGTTATAAATAATAGTTACCAGAGCTCTCATTGAGTTTCCTCATTTCCCACAGAACCAGTTGGAAATAAAAAAATTGGCTTTTAAATATTTCGATCATGATCAAGCTTCGGATCAATATTTTCTGTTCACCAAATAATAATTTGAGCCATCTATTTTTCCTACATAATGCATGGACAAAACATTTTTTAAAAACACTTGGTTCTTACATTTGGAACAAGTCAAATGATGCGAATCAATTCTAGAGTGAATTGAAAGAAAGATGTCCCATCATCAAATTCTCAGGGGACGCTTCAAGTCTTTCAAGAGTCTCACTTGTACATACGCATATATAAGTGTATAACTACAAATTTTGCAAAAAATATATGGTTTGATAATTTTGATTATGATCTCACCAATACAACTCGAGTTGATCCTATTAGACCCATAGTATATATTGTACAGATCAAATAGAAATTTCATCATGTTAAACATGGTCTGAATCTTTTGAATACTAGAAACAGAAAACATACATTTCTCATAATTTTGTACTTAGACATCGTATCATTTCAAATAGACAAATTTGAATCCCATGTTACTTAGACCTACTATCCAGAATATTCTAAAACACCTAAAATTTCTTGTAGGTTTTTGGACTGTTTGTTCAAAATCCATAGGCTGGCGAACTAAAATAGCCTCCAAATAACAGTATACTTAATGGGTTAATTTAAATTGTCTGCATCCAATAAGAAATGTCTGATAACTAACAAATATTGTGGTTACACTAACACCTCAGATTAACGGATCATATGAAGCACAACTTTTTGATAACCACACATACACTCGCATGTAGCACATGCATGCGCGCGCACACATACTCTAGATGCAAACGGTATATTAACAAGAATAATCAATCAGTAAATGTTGCATGCAAAACCATCTAGCTGTCTGACAAAATGATGTAAAAAGAATAATCGTGAAAAGGATTTCAATACCAAAAAAAAAGAAGTTTCTCATAAAAACAATACGAAGGAGATTCTATACCTTGACCTCATATGCAGATATAGTACCATGAACCATTTCAGCAACTTCTTCTAGAGAATGACTTGAGTACTTCATGTCACCAGCCTTGTCCTCACCCTTAGACAGGCTAGGTTTGGAATTTGCCTCAGAATCAAGAGGAACATTTGCAGCAGTGACCTGGAAAAACAAGCGGTACATAAGAGTGAACTGAAGTGCGAAAAATCTTGGAACATTCAAGGGGAACCTTGTTTCAGTTACAGGAAAACCAGATAACCACTGCAACTTTAACATACTGAAAAAAATCTTGCTCAAGGAAAAGAACTCAAAAACATTAGGACAACTAACTAGATCATGTTTCAGCAAGAAAGCAACTAGTTGCGGAGTATATTTGAGGTAGGGCATGTGTGCTATGTCAAATCTAGCAAATGCTCATATCTTTTTAAACCCTTTACATTTGGCATATGCCCTACACTAAAGTGTCTAAATCCATATAAATACAAATTCATAAAGTTGAGACAATTTCCTAGTTAAAATTTTTAATACATTGTTGTGTTTTATAATAATTGAAAAAGTTGTGTACTAAGTGTGCCCTATCTACTGTATGATCCTGTCTTCACCCTTGAAAACAAGCATTGTATTAGCATAAACTTTCTACAAACCATCCATGGCAGAATTCATGCTTGATGATTCTCCAAAGCTAAAAGCACAATTGCTGCAAATTCCCGCTTGTTTTTGCCAAATTTAGCTCACATCCAAAATTCCAAATACAGTTCAAATTTCGGCATTACCCAGTGATAGCATCTTTATTAGATTACTAGTTATTTTTAAAATGAACGGTAAATATACGATATTAGCGACAAAGTATAACAGGTCCGCTTCAATCTTCAGATGTGTATGTGGTGTGTGCGTGTAAACACTTCACAGGGATTATTCATTTTCTATACTGGAGCAGGATCATCTCTGCTGCTTCTGTTAACTTTTACTTTTGCTAATATTGCTATTGCTGTATTGCTGTCATTGTTGACTAGGTAACTCAAAAGAATTGCTCACGGAATCCCTATAACCTGCAAGTATTTTGCAGAAAAGAAACTGCATTCATATCATATATGAGTAGCATGCAAATAACTAGCAAAAGTTTTTACAACGAACGAGAACAAAAATACAATGAGGTGACTTACACAAGTCAGGTGTCATCATAACAAAACAAATATGCTTAGAAAGAAATAAATCAAAAATTTTACACCACATAGAAAGATCACATTAATTCATTATATTGATAACAGTAGACAGGCCTCAATGAAATTACCAGCCAAAAAGGCTCAGAGAGAGCATATGTTAAGCTTTAGTTAAGTCAGAGGGAGCACATAGAATCCTATCTGATGCATGATAAACATCAAAGACTAGATAAATTAATCTAAATTTTATAAGAGCCATGAACAGTTGATGGTAATTTTATGTTTATGCTTGCACGATGTGAGAGATTATATATGTATAGTAATCAATATAAGGTGGTGAATCTTGATTTTTATGTGGTCAGATCATTACCTACTTTTATGATATTCTGCTCAACAAATATGAAATATCTAAGGTTAATAATAGAAAAGGAAATAACTTAGCTTTCAAAATTGACACATTCGTAAATAATAATCTAGTTTATTAAGTTTTCCAAGCAAAGTAAATCTCCACAGATACACAGAACTACTTTTGCTAGTTCAGATTATTCTCTTCCTGTCTACTGGACACAACCTCTTAGATCTAACTACAAGAATTATTAACAATGTGTCACAAACAAACAAAGAAATCATTATTAGTACCTTTGCAAACTTTCCACTGAAAACTGAAAGAGCTAATCTCCAAAATGCTGGAACATGTTGGATAAGCACAGCAGTTAATTGTCGAATATAACACAACTACTTTTGATAGTTCAGATTATTCTCTTCCTGTCTACTGGACACAACCTCTTAGAGGTAACTACAAGAATTATTAACAATGTGTCACAAACAAACAAAGAAATCATTATTAGTACCTTTGCAAACTTTCCACTGAAAACTGAAAGAGCTAATCTCCAAAATGCTGGAACATGTTGGATAAGCACAGCAGTTAATTGTCGAATATACCTTCCTCTCAAAGCATCTACTTCTTCTCCCATGAAATCTGTCTCAAAATCGCCAGAGTCCCGGATTGAGGAATCAACATCAAACTGGCACGAATAAACAAAACATATAGAAAATTATTTAAATTATTCCTAAGCAAGCTGAATGAGTAATAATTAAAAGTCCCATGTCCCAAGAGCTGTCTGAACAAATAACTTCGGTCTATGAATGACAAGAAGCTAACACATGTCTTTCCATGCTTAAGATGTGAGTCACTAAGCAGTAAGCACTAACGCATGTGATGTAACTAGAATGAAACTTAGCTATAGCTAAATGTGCAAGCTGTTGCCTGCAATTCATACGTGGTGGTTTATCTAAACATGCCATGATAACTGTTTATAATTTCCTTTGTTTTGCATGACCCTCCTTATTTATCTTATCTTCAACGCACTTAAATCCATAAGAAAAGTTAGGAAAATAAATCATGAAACACAAGAATGAACTACAGAGTAAGCATCAATAATAAACTTAACACTTACAGACTTGTTAGAAGCTGCCTCCATCTCGCATCAGACTGCAGTCTCTCCTGCATCTCACTGTGTAGAACTTCCATACGGGCTTCGTGCTCCACAGTGCACTTCTCAAGCAAACCTCGAACCCTACGGTTCTGGCGGAAAAATTATATGATGCATTGTGATGTAAGCGAGTATTGAATGATCAAGAAACCCCAAGTAACAAAGCTACATAATCTTGAGCTTGTTCTGCTAATTTTAAGAAAACAATCAGTGTGTACCTGGATATGAAGATAATGCCACACTGGATCAGAATCAGGTTCCAACTCTAACAACAACCTAACAGTGTTCTCAAGCTAGAAACACAGAAAAAAAGTTCATGGTAAGATAACTTGAATATGGGACTTCCAAAGGGATGCAAATGGTGTCTGCAAGAAATTTTACTCTAAATATGGAAACCATCAGCCAAGACTTCTATGATTAATTGGGTATTAACTGTGCAGCAAAACTTTATGTTGATAGCGGCACTAGAAAAGAGTACCAGAAATGAATTAAAAATGAGCTTACTTCAGCTAGGTCAAGCTGTGGATCTTCCATCGACTTATAAAGCATACTCCTAAACTCATTCATCACTTTTTCCACCTCTTCTAAAACACGTTTTAGTATCCCCACCTGCATGAAAACAAATATATCATATGACAACTGAACAACTGAACTATAAAAGAATGGTTGGAACGACCCTAAGAAATTAAATGACAGCCCCCTATTTTAAGGAACAAGAGCCAGACATGATGATACTGAGCATAGAATTTATTCTGTTCCTAAAATAAAGAAAGAAACTTACAGATATAAAACATGGTTCAGATACGAGACAGAGGCATCCACATCATACAAAATGTCAAGCATAAACATAAATGCAAAACAATCACTTCAATTTAACAGAATCCAATGTAAGAATTTCAATATAAATCTTCAATCTAATTAAATTGCAATAAATGAAGTAAAAAAAAGGATCACCACATATAGAAATAGATAAGCATATGTAGACAAGGGTCAAATGTACAATTAAGAGAGGAAGGGTGCCAAGCATATGTATATATTTAAAAGTACCAAAGAATGATTGATTTACATTGACAATGAAAAAGAAAAATATTTTGAAAGAAAGGATTCATTTGAGATATACTATACAAGTATCAAGAGAGTACCAAGAGGTACTGATGTGATGTGCACTTGACAAAAATATATGTTCATTGATGCAAAGCAGTCTATAACGATTCAGGGAAAACAACAAGAAGAAGGAATATGACACAATATACTAAAAGTTGAGATAGATAATAGTAGGACAATAAAGAGTCATTGAAGCAAGTTAGCGGTAATTATTAAGGGGGTGTGTTAGTCAATTGGGACATTTTCATGCAAAATGGGATAATTGTTAAAGTGGAATAATTTTTCGCTAGTGGGATATTTTAGTGGGATAAAATATAAATAACAACAATTTTGTGAAGCGGGATATATTGATAAAATAACGCGAGATAAATTTTTATAATCATGAAATATATATTTATGCATTTTGAAGATATAAATACAATTTATGTATTTTAAACTTACTATTATTGATTGATAATTGCTTACAACAATGTTCTTTACTATTAAATAACTTTTGGTTAGACTATAAAATATTGACAATTATTATTATAATGATGGTCTAATGATGGTAATAACCATAATAGGAAAGAAGTAAAGAAAAAAAGAAATATAAAAAATAACAAAATAAATATGAGTTCTAGTTTTTTACCACCTAGTTCCAAGCTAAAACTTGGAATAATTTGAGAGACTAGAACTCATATTTTTATATAAAAAAATAAAAAAATAAAAAAAGGGGATAATTTTGTACCATATCCCAATTCTAGTTTTGTTAGAGTTCTACTTGACTAACACCGTAAAATTTTGTTCTAGTTTTAGTTCTATCCTATGTTACCCGAGTACTTCTATAATGAAGCCGTACCCGTACCGGACACGTACCCGACACTTTCCCGTACCCAAACTTCATGAACACTTCTTGAATATATGCATGCATTTATTACAACATGTTATTAATTTTATATATATATATATATATATATTTATATATATATATATATTTATATATATATATATATATAGTCGTGTCCTCGTACCCTACATTTTACAATTTTGTCGTGTCCCCTACCCGTACCCACACCCGCACCCGTACCAGCACCCGTTTCCATGCAACTTAGGTTCTATGTGACTAACATCTTAAAAATTTATCCCACAGATTATCCCAGTTCTAATTTTGAGTTCTAGGTGACTAACCCCCCCCCCCCAAA